ACGATTATCATCGATACAGGGTCCGAACAAAACATAATAAGTAAGGACCTGGCTACTTCCATTGATACCCGACAAACGGCCCACCTACTAGCAGTGGGTAATACGAGGGTAGAAACCCTGGGAAAAACCGTAGTAAAACTACGATTAGCCAACCTAACAATCCCCTGTACAGCCATTGTGGTAGATAAATTACCCTTACCACTAATACTGGGCATGAGATCACTAACCGACCTAGAAGCAGTTATCGACTTAAAAAAATTCGAGCTACGACTCTTTTCAGACGGAAAGGAACACACCGTAGCCCTAAATTCAAAGGGCACAGAAACCCCTAAAGCAAAGTTTGTAAACCTTACCCAAATATTGGGAGAAGATACAGATTATAAAAATATGTATCACCATGAATGTTTGGCAAACGTAAAAAATACTTTAAGTCGGCCATCATTTAATAGTATGAGTTGTGAGAACACAGAGTTAATATCGGTGGACCCTCGTAAAGGAGGATCGCCGAAAAATCACGATATTCAGGGAAAAAAGGGAGGAAACGAGGTAATTAAAAGTTTAAAAGATCGGTATTCCCTCGTATAGAGAAAATGCAGAGGCAAAAAAACAGGAGGAACATAATTTAAATGAAATACTCAGCAATAACGAGCCAAATATATTAGCATGTAACTACATTACAATCCCAGAAAAACCTGGAAAAGTAATATTGACAAAAGACTTCGTGCTATACCCGGGAATGGAATCTATTTTACATGTAGATATCCAGAGTCCCATCGATAAAGATATATTTTATGAATTCACCGAGAATTTAAAAAAGTTACGCGAAATCACTTAGTCATCATATCAAATATATACGATATAGTCAGGGAAAAAAGTATAACAATTGTAAATAAGAATTTCAGAAACATTAAACTTTTTGAAAACAGCACTGTAGGCTATATAGATGAAATAAAGAAACCGTGTGGAGAATGGACCTTCGTATTTCTTCCAGCGAATTTCAGCCACATGACTCAGCCTTTGGATATGGCTGTTTTCGCCCATTTAAGAAGGCTTGGCGTAAGATATTAACCGACTGGAAAAAAGGCCCGGGTCAAAGAGCATGAAGCATTCCAAAAACCACATTTCCTCATCTCTTTAAATTATTGTTGGAAGCCATTAAACCTAATGCGACTAAAAATGTTTAATCGGATTTTCGAAAATGTGAAAATAAATCCAGATGATATATTATCAAGACTACCATCAGGTTCACAAGTTCCGGAAAACGATGCGACAACTTTAACAAATTCGGTAATTGGTATTTTAAAACCAATAACATACGAGAATCTTCCTAAACCAAGGCAACAGCGGAAAAAGGTTAGTATTACCAGGTCGAAGTGTAGCAGGAAGGTTTTAACGAAACCAAATCTAGTGATTCTAGCGATATTGAATATATTTCCCTTCACAGCGCACCCAAAAAAGATGAAACACAAGATCATAATATGGAAGATGAACTATGCACCATTGAGTGTATTGTTACCAAACGGTAAAACTTTTGAATGCGTGTTTCCAGTTACAATGCAGTCTATAAAAGTATACGATTGAATACTGGTTCAATTTTTTAGTCAGAAATACATTGATAGAGTTCAATCCATAAATGAAAATTACACTGCAAATTTTCTTCGAGTGAATCCAGACATTATAGATGTAACCTAATTCAGTTTCGACCAAATTATTGGCAAAGACCCTAAAAAGGACCAAAAAAGTATTTTGATATTTCAAGTGGACGCCACCAAGTGTAAATAACTTTGTGTATGTTTTTTATAAAAATGAATACTTTGTTTTAAAGTTAGTTTGTGTTTATTTATATATGTTTATCTTTAGATATACGAATTTCAGTTATTTTGTAGTGTACATTTTTTTTAATATAAAATGTGTTGCCTTCCACCTCTTAGACAGTGTGAAAGCCAAAACACGCAAAATCAAGCAAGGGTTGTTACTCACATCGGATGTAAGGTGAATCGCAACACACCTTTTTTTTCAGGGCATTTAGAAAAAAGTAGAAAATTTTCGATTTTCTGGGATAAAGGTGAAGGTAAGATAATAGGTTTACGCTAAAAACGGGTTTTCTGAGTAAAATCGTTTTAAAGTTATACAACCGGAAATTTTGAAAAAGTATTATTCACTCCATTTTACGTAACGGAGCAAAAATAGAACACTTTTTTATGATGATTTAATGTCTATTGAGATGAGAAAGTTAGAATTGAATTTAATAGGCAATTGTAAATGGTGTCCCAATAGAAACGCACATTTTAAATTGCGCGGTATTTTTAGTGTATTCGCATTAGGCCAAAAAACAAATGATAAGAATAATGTAAACAGTTTGCGAGTAGTAGCCAGGGAACGATATACGGTCGAACAACGAATTATTATTGTTAAAACACACTACAAATATGGATAATGTTATAGGCAAACAGTTCGTAAATTACGTGGCATTTTTGATTTACACAATGCGCCAAATCACACAACCGTTCAAAAATTACCTAACAAATTTGAGCAAAATGGTTCTGTCGTGGAAGTGCAAACACCAGTGTGTCACCCTAGTAGCCGCTCTGTTGAAAACACTGTCGCAGTGCGTGAAAGTGTTCGCGAGAATCCGGAAACATCTATCCATCATCGTTCACAGCAGTTGCACATTTAAAAGAGCACTACCCATCGAATTCTCATAAAAGATCTTCATTTCCATGCTTATAAGATTCAATTGACCCAAGAATTGAAGCCATTGGATTATGCGACACGCTGTACATTTTCTTTTTCGATATTGTAAAACCAACAAATGAATGTCGATTTTTCGAAGAATATTCTGTTCAACGATGAGGCACACTTTTACCTTAATGGATTTGTTAATAAACAAAATTGCCGGATTTGGCGTGAAGAAAATCCTAGAGTTACTTACGAGATGAAAATACATCCATTAAATGTCACTGTCTTGTGCGCAATGTGGACAGGTGGAGTGATTGGACCGTACTTCTTTGAGGACGAGACAGAAAATGCAGTTATTGTGAACAGCGAACGATATCGTAAAATGCTGAGTTTTTGTGGCCTCAACTGGATGATATGGATACGGAAGCTATGTGGTATCAACAGGATGGTGCGACATGTCACACTACAAGCAAAGCAATTCAGTTGTTGTAAGGAAAGTTTCCGGGTCGTGTCATCTCACGTATTGGAAATCAGAACTGGCGAGCAAGATCGTACGATTTAACGACTTGTGATTTCTTTCTTTCGGATTTTTTTTAAATCCCTCGTATACGCTAATAAACCAACAACAATTCCACAGTTAAAGAAAGAAACTGAACGCGTTATTAGTGAAATTGAGCCAGAATTGTGCTATAATGTGATTGAAAATATTTTGAAAATAATAAGAGTCTGTCACCAAAGTTGGGGCGGCTATTTACCAGATGTTATTTTTCACATTTGATTTAATCAATGTACAATTAGTAGTATAGCAACACCGATTCGGCCTTATTCCCTATGTTAATTCCCATAATAAATCGCCAAGGTCCAACGTGGTAATTTTTGATACCAAAATTCCAGAGGCGTACTAAAACAATTTACCCCTTATTAAAATTTAAATTAATATTAAAATGTCAGGAGAGCACTGGAAAAATACCCCTTTTTTTCTACTTTATTTATATTTACCTTATTAGGATTTAAAAATCACATATTTGTTTTAAATCATTTATTTTTTCTCATACATAATTAAGCAGTTTAATTTTACATAAAAACATGTTATTACAAAGTATTTAATTAAATCCAGTTGAAACGTCTGCTAAGCTCTAGTGTCCCCATGGTAAAGTATTGTAAGATTCAGGTACCAAGTAGCGTTTATCATCGTAGGCGCTAAGGGCGATTTTCTGCTGAATCATTAAATAAACTTGATGTTTATCTAAACGAATTAAATTCTGCGAAACAATCTTATTTGTAAATGTCTCCAAACATTTTTACATAATCTTTAAAAGTTATTATATTATTAACTATAGATTTTTTACGCCCTCTGCTTTCTTAATTAATCCAACATTTAACAAAATATCTTCAATTTCATCACAGTCATATTTTTCTTCTGTTTTAAGACGTTCTGTCTCCCTTACTCTTCAGTTTTAACAATTTTTACAGTATATAATTTTGAACGAAGACCAATAAAATCAGTCATTCGTATACCATTGTTCTCATCTTTCATCATACCTAGTACTTTTTTATTAACTTGAGGAATTCCGTAAACGTTGTTTAGTGCAGTGCTCCGCAACCTTTCCTCATCTGAGGCACACCAAACTGCTCCCTAGAATTTCGTGGCACACCAAAATCTAAAATATATTTATAGCAGTGGCGTAGCTAGGTCAGATTGCTTTATTTTTCGCGGGTCTCGCTACAATACGAATCTGATTCGTATTGTCTGCAAGAGCGGCACACCTCAAGTCGGCTTACGGCACACCAGTGTGCCGCGGCACACCGGTTGCGGAGCACTGGTTTAGTGAATAGTCTGAAGGATCAAACTATTGCATACAATTACGTTTTATAGTTTCATAAGGATCATGATCTCGAATTTCATAGATTAGACTGTCCGTATCCGTGTATAAAATGGAACAATTATTTCCAAATTCGCTTTTCATATAGCCATAATGGAAGTCATAAAGAGTTGTCTTAGCCAAATCTAAAATGCTCATTTGTTTAAAAATATCTCTAGTTTGTGCAATTCTATGGCTACTAAATTTTTATTGAATATTGTACATGATTTAAATTCAGGTTTTGATATCATTGCTTCGGCACCATAACGCCCCTGCCATTGCTGAATTAACTTCACATTAAGATATTTCCTCACACTTTCAATACTTTTTCCAAAGATGGCATTGTTCATGAGGTTATATAAGTTCTTCTCAAATTCATTTTTTTAGTATTAAAATCTATGTCTTTAACCAAGGGGACTGGTTAAATTTTAAAACTCTATAAATTTTTGTTAGCTTTAATCAATATTTTATTGCCTGTTTTAAATTTCTATAGTAGATCACGTATTTGTCTTTGTTTTGTAATGTTGCCATTAATTTAAATTTCTTCGCACATGGTCTCAAAGTTGCAGGATTAAGATGTTCAGGTAAAAAGGGTAAATCCTGATGAACATTGTGAAGTTCTTTCGGATATTCTAAGTCAACTTCTAAAATATACCCTTCAGGGGAATGATCATGTATTGACATAATATCAATATTAGTATCCACCCATTTGAAATCTCCATAAGGTAGATATTGCGACATCGCCCATCCATACTGATTGTTAACATCATAGTGCATCAAATAGTTGGACGGGTTTGACACATAGTAGGGTAAGTACTTGTTGCTTGTATGGGCTCTTCTTTTTGAGCAGACCTGACTTAAACCTTCACGTATTTTCTTTTCAATAAAGAGAAACATATCTTGATCAGTTGGCAGTTCCAGTTTTTGATCAGTTAGTCTTAACATAGCATCCCAAATACAGGGTGTTCCGAAATTAGACGGTCATATTTTAACAGCGTAATCTACATTCTAAAATAGGAGTAAAATTTCATATAAACATGAAGTGAAGTCTTGATGACTCACTTTTATAAATAAACGTTTAAAGATAACTAAATGAAATTTGATACAAATGCTTACCTTTTTACGCTCTATTTAATGGACTGATCATCTTCATAAGTGGGTAAATTAGAGGGGGCTTAAGGTAAAATTTCCCTAAGTTTTTTTGGTTGACAGTTTTTAACATTTTTGACTATACAATTTGGAAAACCAATGTTTTCTTTATAATAAAGTTACTGTTGTTGCATCTGGCTAGGACGCACCATTTTCAAGAAAAAAGCATTTTAAAATTTCATGATGTTATTCGAAAATTTAAACAATAATTAGTATGTTTGTGGAATCAAAAATTTTATTTTTTTTTACTTTAGAAAACCGGTGACTAAAGGAAATTTTAGAAAATATTTACAAAAATGTGCCATCAGGACTTCACTTGTAACACCCTGTATCTCGAAAACGTAACGTTTTCGGACCTACGTTTATATGAACTTTTACTCCTATTTTAGGATGTAGATTACGCTGTTAAAATATGACCGTCTAATTTCGGGACACCCTGTATTTCCAGATAGGGTATAATAATGTGCTGGATCTAAACCATAACTTTTATGAGAACTTGATCTAAATTGCTCAAAAACGTCAGCTAAAAGCAAAATATCCATTTTCATGTATAAGTCAACGTAATCACCAAGGTTACGATACAAAAACTTGCTCCAAATATCCTGGATACGAAGGTACATTCTACGTGAACATGGCTTGTTTTCTAATGTATTATAGAATGCATCGATTGGAGGTAAACATGCTTAATTAAATCGTTCAAATGAATCGAAGTAGTCATATGGCATGATTCCTTTCTTTGTTAATAATTTGTAATGATCTTCAGATAATTTAGCAAACTGAGATCTTAAATTGGAAAAATTTTCTAGATCTGATGCTAATGCACTTAAACGAGAATCCATGCGCCGAAAATTATCAATAAATCGAAACTGAATGGGAGAATCTTCTACTCTATGTATACGTATAATTTTCAATTATTTTTTGAATGAAGAACCTAACCTATCCTATCGTATTAATTACCAAAATCTGAATAACCAATTTGAAAAAATATTGCTCATCCTTCAAGCTGTTGGTAGGATTATGGATTTAATGTTTAGTACGTTTGTAATTAATGAATTTTTCGTTCTTCTTAGATTAGTCAGAACCATTACAAATCTTGAAAATTTAAAATACAAATACTGCAGTACAGCCAATAATAAATTGTATCAGCTTGTGTCAACTTCGTGAAGAGCTATCGTCTGGTAAGTATTTGGTAATATCTTTTGGATACTTTTGTAAAATTTCGCTCTAATTTAATAAAACAACTTAATTTGAGAAATTTTTAATTAATTGATTTATATCGCACTTGAATTCTGACGGTCTTAAATGCAATTAATTACTTGGTGGTAGACGACCCATTGTGATTACTGATCAACCTGCTGCTTACCTCGGACCTCCTGAGTAGTGCTTTGAATTCCGAGGGGCTGTTAAGCTATAAACCATTCGGTAGCAGGACTTGTCTCAGTTAAAGTTATGTAGAGAAGGAGCGAAGGTTTTTCATGTAGATTTATAATTTTATTTTCGTTTAAGGTCAACCGTTTTCCATCCGAAACAAGTCCGAACAAATCCGAATAAATCCGAACAAATCCGGGCAAATCTACATATATTTAGAACACACCAAGCTTATAATTCAGTATCATATTGAAGGTCTACTACATAAGTCATACTGTACGCTGTCCAAAGGCTTAAGATGTATTGGTTGAAAGTTTTATGTGAAAAAATCTGTGCTATATTAACTATTCTATCATTAACAATGGATAGGAACGAGGCAGAAACTGGTCTTCGTGAATGTAATAAAGCTATTCGCCTAATCAAACATAATTTAAAAATTGCTGCGACCTTGGGGGAAAAACAACGATTATGTGCTGCTTTAGCTTATATTAAGAGTTTTCGATCGCAAATAAAAAAAATTCGAAAAAAAGGAAGGGGTCTACAGGAAACTAAAAAACCATGTACTCTGGAAAGATTTTTTATCAACATTTAATACTGGAGTAATTACAAATCTTCAACACAAAGATCCGAAGACTTTTTTACAAGATTGCAAATCTATTTTTGAACGAAAAATCAATAATACGCTACAAACAAAAGAAGCCATTAAAGTCAATGTTGTTTTTTGTGGTGAATTTGTTTTAACAAAGGCTCATCGAGTTCAAACTGAATTTAAGTACTTTACAACTTCTAATTCACCAATATATAAAGACACTAACATCGGTCAATGGTTTGATGAAAAGGTTATTAAACCCATTCTAAATTAACTTGAGGAATTTCAAGAACGTGACAGTGGATGGTCCTTAAAACAAGTTATTAATTTAGGTGTGAGCATTAACAAGTTTACTCCTCAACTGGAATCATCGTATATTGATTTACCCCCACAAATCAAACAAAAAGAAGCATGTATGTGAAAATTAAGCTTGCTTTGTTTGGGCTGTTACATCTGCTTTATATCCTATTCATAAAAATTCTGATAGGGTTTCATCTTACCCTCATTACTTGACAGTTCTAAAACTTAAAGGTATTTAATTTCCAATGAATATGAAACAAATTCCTAATTTCGTAAAACAAAATAATGTTTCCGTAAATGTCTACATTTTACAAAAACAGAAAAAATCATTTATTACTCTTCCCACTTATCCTTCAAAAAATAAAGAAGATCGGCATGTGAATTTACTTCTTCTTCAAGATGAGTACTATAAGGAGGGTGAGGAAGGTGATGTTAAATATCACTTTGTATGGATTAAAAGCCTTTCGAGACTACTTTCCAAATAATTGAGTAACGAAGGGCATGCTAAATACTTTTGCGATCGGTGTCTTCATTATTTCCGTTCTGAGGCAAAATTAAACATGCATATAGAAGATTGTAAAAAGTTAAATCATGGTGCTATTAAAATTCCCGAAGGTGATAAATCTGGTAGAGTTTAAAAATTTTAAAAATAAAGAAAGAGTCCCTTTCATCGTATACGCTGATTTGGAAAGTGTATTGAATCCAATGGAAAATAAAAATATTTATCAGCAACATGTTCCAGCTGCTGTGGACTCCTACCTCAAATGTTCTTATGATGACACAATTTCTTTTTATCGATCATACAAAGGTTCCGATTATATGCAGTGGTTCACTGATGAAATGAAAAAACTGGCCGAAGATTTGGAAACTCTCTTTTGGTGCCCTTTACACATAGATATATCTGCAGAGCAGGAATATGATTTTCAAAAATCTACATATTGTCATATATGTGAACAACCGTTCGAGCATGATGATAAAAAAGTTAGAGATCATTTTCATCTTCTCCCTTACAATAACTGTAGAGGTCCATTCCATAAGGGATGTAACATAAATTATCAGGATAGTCATGTGGTTCCTGTAGTCTTTCACAATTTGTCCGGGTATGACGCCCACTTTGTAATAATTGACATAGCTACTAGACTGCCATGTCGAGTTGATTTACTTCCTATCACCAAAGATAAGTATATTTCGTTTACCAAACATATCAAAGATTCTCCCATTCAGTTTCGATTTATTGATAGTTTTCGGTTCATGAATTCTGGTTTAAGTACATTAGCACCATATCTAGAAAATTTTCCCAATTTAAGATCTCAGTTTGCTAAATTATCTGAAGATCATTACAAATGGTTTAGATCCAGCACATTATTATACCCTACCTAGATATATTTGGGATGCTATGTTAAGACTAACTTGGCAAAAACTGGAACTGCCAACTGATCAAGATATGTTTCTCTTTATTGAAAAGGGAATACGTGGAGGTTCAAGTCAGGTCTGCTCAAAAAGAAGAGTCCATGCAAACAACAAGTACTTACCCTACTATGATGTGTCAAAGCCGTCCAACTATGTGATGAACTATAATGTTAACAAACAGTATGGATGGGCGATGTCGCAATATCTACCTTATGGAGGTTTCAAATGGGTGGATAGTAATATTGATATTATGTCAATACATGACCATTCACCTGAAGGGTATAATTTAGAAGTTGACTTAGAATATCCGAAAGAATTTCAGAACGTTCATCAGGATTTACCCTTTTTACCTGAACATCTTAATCCTGCAACTTTGAGACCATGTACAAAGAAATCTAAATTAATGGCAACATTACAAAACAAAGATAAATACGTGATCCACTATAGAAATTTAAAACAGGCGATAAAATATGGATTAAAGCTAACAAAAATTCATAGAGGTTTAAAATTTAACCAGTCCCCTTGGTTAAATAATTATATAGATTATAATACTAAACTTAGAAAAAATTCAAAAAATGAATTTGAGAAGAACTTATATAAACTTATGAACAAAGCCATCTTTGGAAAAAGTATTAAAAGTGTGAGGAAATATCTTAATGTGAAGTTAATTTAGCAATGGCATGGGCGTTATGGTGCCGAAGCAATGATAACAAAACCTGAATTTAAATCATGTACAATATTCAATAAAAATTTAGTAGACATAGAGTTGCACAAACTAGAGCTATTTTTAAACAAACCTATTGATATTGGAATGAGCGTTTTGGATCTGGCTAAGACAACTCTTTATGACTTTCATTGTGGCTATATGACAAGTGAATTTGGAAATAATTGTTCCATTTTATACACGGATACGGACAGTCTAATCTGTGAAATTCGAGATCATGATCCATATGAAATTATAAAACGTGATTGTATGCAATATTTTGACACTTCAGACTATTCACTAAACAACATTTACGCAATTCCTCAAGTTAATAAAAAAAGTACTAGGTATGATGAAAGATAAGAACAATGGTATACCAATGACTGATTTTATTGGTCTTCGTTCAAAATTATATACTGTAAAAATTGTTAAAACTGAAGATGCTATTGTAAGGGAGACAGAAGAAGAATATGACTCTGATGAAATTGAAGATATTCTGTTAAATGTTGGTTTAATTAAGAAAGCAAAGGGCGTAAAAAAATCTATAGTTAATACTATAATAACATTTAAATATTATGTAAACTGTTTGGAGACATTTACAAATAAGATTGTTTCACAGAATTTAATTCGTTCAGAAAAACATCAAGTTTTTTTAGTGACTCAGCAGAAAATTGCCCTTAGCCCCTACGATGATAAACGCTACTTAGTACCTGAATCTTACAATACTTTACCATGGGGAAACTACAGCTTAGCAGACGTTCCAACTGGATTTAATTAAATACTTTGTAATAACATGTTTTTATGTAAAATTAAACTGCTTAATTATGTATGAGAAAAAATAAATGACTTAAAACGAATGTGATTTTGAAATCCTAATAGGTTAAATATAAATAAAGTAGAAAGAAAGGGGTATTTTTCTAGTGCTCTTCTGATATTTTAAAATTAAATAAATTTTAATAAGGGGTAAATTGTTCTAGTACGGTACTGGAATTTTGGTATCAAAAATTACCACGTTGGATCTTGGCGATTTCTTATTGGAATTAACATGGGGAACTGAGGCTGAATCGGTGCTGCTATACTACTTACAATTCATTTCTACGCACACAAGTCCATGTAGAATTTAAATAAAATACTCTTTGTGGATATATAACTTTATTCCCTGGGTCTCGCTACACAAATGAATCGTACATATCTCACATAGGTATATCTCGACCCAACATTAAATCATCATTTCAAAAAATTCAATGCACTACAGTTCGCACGGTAATAAACGAAAGTTGATTCCTAATTTATTTGATACGTTACCGTGGGGTCACTACAACATTATTGAATGAATGTATGTTATTGTAAAATACCTATATATTTTTTTGTTAACAGAATATTGAATTGTTATGTCATCAAGAGCTGTCACACCAAATAAATTATGGTATATTATTTGATTTTTAGTGATATCAAAAATTTAAATAATCATAAAAACTCAAAGAGAACATTGGATTTTATTTTTTTTAAATTATTGCGGATACATAATATAAATTTGATAGATTTTTTTAAATTTGAATTTTCCATAATATAATAAATACTTTAAATTATGGCGAATAAGCACTATGCATTTAATGTGATTTTTAAACTACATATTTATTTATTTATTTAGGAGTTTTATTTAGATTTTGATATGCACTATTTCTATGAACTATTTCTAAAATAGGAGCCATAATTTTCTCAATTTTTTTAATTCGTCGTGAAAATCGTATAATTGTTGCCATACTATCGATTCTACTGCAAATTGCTTAATGCCGCAGTAGGTTCTTTCTGGTTTGACTGGAAGTATAGTATTTTCAGCAGATATCGAAAAGATGTACAGACAAATCAAAATTGACAGAGACGATCACAAATTCCAAAAAAACCTTATGGAGATTCCAGACCTTGGAAAATATAAAGGAATATGAGCTAACCACTGTTACTCATGGACCATCAACAGCTCTTTTCCTAGCGATAAGAATATTACAACAATTACCTTTATACGAAAAATCAAAATATCCTAAGGCCGTACAGGTCATTCTTGAAGACTTTTATGTAGACGATTTGCTATCAGGCACAAAGGATGTTCTTTTATTTTCTTGATGTTCAAGATTGAACATCTTTTTTTTTTGGTTTAAGAAAACCGCAATTTTATTAATTGTTACAAGTTAATTTCAATTAAAACTTTTAATAAATTTTATGTTATCCAATGGCTATCTTATGCGTTGGATAACAAAGTACAAATTCAAGTTTCTTAATTAATTGATACTTTTATGGAAATTCGTTGAACTTGCAAACTTAGCAGTAAACGAGGTCAAACGAAGTACCTGAACAAGCAAAAGTGCATGAATCCGAACTTTTCTTATAAAATATTAGAAATAAATAATCACTTGGTTATGAAGAGCCGAACGAGCACCATCCCTCTCAGAATATACCCTTGTATCTAGTTAATGTATATTTTTTGTTCATACTAATAATTAATGAAGATTGTCATTTTATAATAATTTATTTAGTGAATATATAATTTAAATTAGTATTGTTTTATTAAAAGCTCTACCATCTAACTATAATTAATTCGTCAGCTTGTTTAGAAAACCATAAACCCTAAACGCGCTATATGGTGGAGGCGCAATTTTCTTCGTATAGCTTTAAAATTTTTTTATTAATGTATTGTTCAAAATTATCTTTTAAATAAAAGACAATTTTAATTGAATATGTACTCCTAAATAATTTTTTTTATTAAATTATAGCAAAAAAAACAATAAATGGCGATATTAAAATTTATTTTTTTTTGGAAACGTGGGAAATAGACCATCAACGCCACAAACTCCTCCTCACTCTGTAAGGTCCATATTTATAAACCGTATTTGGCCAAAATGTTTATACATTTTTTATCTATAAATAGCGATTCCAAAAAATCTGTAGCTACTTGGTCTATAAGACACCCAATAATCCAGATACACCTCGATTTTGTTCATTCTTCTTCTGGGTTGAAAACTCGTATTATTTTAATGTTTGTTAATCGTATTTTGTTCCTATAGTACACTAGTCTATCTAGTGATGTGTAACAGATGTTTAAATCGTTTTATGAGTAAATTTCATTTAGAAAATATATTGAAGATTGTAAAAATTTTAATAAAACTAAAGTTGTTATGCCCAACGAAACAAATAAAATTATGAAATTTAAAAACTTTAAAAACAAAGAACCTGTTCCATTAGTAATTTATTCAAATATTGAAAGGGAACTTAAGGATTATGATGATGATGACACGCAAACAAGTAATACACAAATTTATCGAAAGCATAAAGCATTTAGTGTTGCATATTATTTAAAATCACATTTTGAAAATAGATATCGATTAAAATTTAGATTTTACATAGGTCGTGACTGTTTGGATTGGTTTGTAGATGAATTACAACAAAGTGCTAAATATTTTAAAAAATTCATAATACCTAATCCAGAATTAATGAACCTAACTCTGGAAGAAGAAAATAATTTTCTTATGTCTACTACTTGTTACGTTTGTCATAAACCATTTCTTGATGTTGATACAAAAGTAAGAGACCTTTGTCATTATACAAAAATGTAGTGTTCATAAGGCATGCAATTTGAATTATAAAAATTCACATACTGTTCCAGTTTTATTTCATAACTTGTCAGGACATGATAGTCATTTTATTATGAAAGCTCTTAGCACAAAAATTAAAGGATATATAATAAAGAAGAATATATTTCATTTACAAAGTATATTAGTGGAACTAAAATCAGTTTCAGATTTTTAGATTCATTTAGGTTTATGTCAAATAGTTTATAAATTTAAATTAGTTACAAGAAAAGAAGTTTTTCCATATAAATATATAAATATATAAATTCCTGTGAAAAATTAACAGACAAATATTTACCCAAAAAGAGGCTTTCTATAGAAAACTTACAAGTAAAGGAATGTCTGATAAAGATTATGAACACGCTTGTAATGTTTGGAATACATTTAATTTAAATAATCTTCAGGAATATGCTAAATTATATTTACAAACCGATGTACTGTTGCTTGTTGATGTATTTGAAAATTTTAGAGTGAAACATACGAGTTGAATGCTCTTCATTACTATACAACACTTGGCTTTGCATTTGATGATATGCTTAAAATTTCCAATGTAGAATTGGAGTTACTTACTGATAATAATATTTCTTTATTTATTAAAAAATCTATTAGAGAAGGTGCCTCACAATGCAGCAACAGATATGCTGAATGCAAACAACAGGTATATGGCTGAGTAATATAAACCTGATTAACTAAGTTCATATTTAATGTATTTCGATATAAATGCTTTATATGGAACCGCAATGTGTTTTCCATTGCCATATGGAGTATTTCAGTGGGTAGCCAGTGAAGATATTTATAATAAAAACATCTTTAATAATAATGAATATGATTCAGTATGTGAATACGCGTATATTCTTGAGGTTGATTTACGTTATCCTAGACCACTTTAATTTACATAAAGATTTACCATTCTGTCCTGAACATTTAGTACCACCTACGTCAGATTCTGACCAACCAAAATTACTTTCAACTTTGTATGATAAAGAAAAATATGTCATTCATTATCTAGCTATTCAGTTGGGAATTGTAGTCAGAAAAATTCATCGTTGTCTTAAATTCAAATAAACATGTTGGTTAAAACCATATATTGACTTAAACACAGATCTACGAAAACAGAGTAAAATTAATTTAAAAAAGAATTAATGAACAATGCACCCTATAGCAAAGCCATCGAGAACGTTACAAGGTATAGGGATGTTAGGCTAGTGACTAAATGATTAGGAAGATATTGTGCTAAGTATTATATTTCACAACCTAATTTTCGTAGTTGTAGGTACTATATTTAGTAAAAATATGGTAATTATTGAAATGAGTACACTAAAAGTAACTTTAAACAAACCAAAAATTTTATTTACGACTTTCATTATAATTACATATAAAAAAAGTTAAATAGTAAGGCAAAATTAATGTATACAGAAACTGACAGTTTAATTTACCATTTCACAGACATTGATGACAATTATAAACATATAAAAGAAGATATAAATAAATTTGATACATCAGACTATCCAGACAATAACGTTTTTGAAATTCCAAGAAATAATAACAAAGTTTTGGGTTTTTATGAAAGACGAGAATAAGGGTAAAATCACTTTATTGGTTTAATATCAAAAATGCATGCTTTAAAAGTAATGTCATCATCATCATTAGATCGAATAGATGATAATGATGATGATAATAATAAAGAATTTGAAATTGAAATTAAGAAGGCAAAAAGTATTAAAAAATCTGCTTTAAAGTATATAAGATTTGAGGATTACCATAAGTGTTAATTTATTAATTCGCAAATGGTAGTTCATCAAAATTCTATGTCAAAAAACACATGAAGGTTACACTATTTCACAAAAAAAAAATTTCACTGAGACGCTATGATGACAAAATAATTGTCACCGTTATATATACGGGATTCAATGACAATTATTAATTTTTAATCAAGACGTTTATTTACTACATAAATAACAGTTCGTTTTTTTGCTTAATTAATTTACAAGCTAATCCACTGATCATCTTAAACTGGATATCTTAAAACTTTTCTGTAACATTATTTATCAAATTTTTAAAAAATAAAAAATACTTATTGTTATTTAATAAAATAATTTAATCAAAAACATGATTTTCTTTTTATAATATAGAGTATGAACGATAAAATTTATTTTTGTTTTAATCTTGCAAAAAATAAGATAAATTCTTTTGTGGTATAAATAAATGGAGACTCGTGAGACTAGTGATTTATTTGTTCAAAACTTTGCATCTCAGAGTACAATTAGTTACCAAGCTGTTTCTTCATTTTAGTGATAGAATTAGGCCTTTAACCGTTAAATAATAAAAAGATGTTATCAACAAATTTATTTGCCGCTGAATAAAGAAACCCCATGGCCAGGGTAAGTAACGTGTACTTTTTTTTTATATTTATTTATACAGTGTTTTTTTTAATGTTTGGCATGTAGTTTTAGGTTTTTTTATGCGATATAAAATCTTGTCGAATTTGCGATGTTGCCAGACTTAAAATATTTCTTTGTTTCTTGTAATTATTTTTAATGATCTATTTAATATGCGAGAATGGTTTAGTTTTTCGCTGTAGCCAAGGAACGCTTGTTATTTTTTTTTTTAAGTTATTAGTACATTTTTATTTTATTTATATATGCACTTACTTTAATATGTTAAGTAAGTTTAAATATACTAAATATAAGAACTTAATCAATTATTTATTACAGGGTTAAGAAAAACTGCATTTCTTTTTTTAATTCATATTTATTGCAAGAAGTTCGTTTATTAAGCAGAAACTTTTGGTTTATAATTCATATGTATATTTAAGGGTTTTATGATTCATTTTATGCTTTATAACTGGTTTATTCCTGGATTATTCTTGAACTGAGATCACCATCCGTTATCGGTTCAGCGCATCCACTCCAGGGACGTCAACTTCAGAGTAGGGTACGACAGTAAATCTGATCCTGCCATAGCGACACTGAGTTCTGGATCAGCCTTCACTTGATGCACGCAAGTTATCTACTAAGTTTCTCATTCTTTTATAAATAATTTTTTTATCTCATTGTTGTACAGTTCGCCTATTGTTACGCTTTCTGCTTATGACTAGCTTTTACTGATTCATATTTACTTGTTAGCGGTCTCTAAGATACGGTATCATTAAACGAAAATTTTGCCTTTTAGGATCTAAGGTACATGCGCCTGAGCTCAAACGATGTAGATTCCTTAATATTTGTTTTTATTATCAGTTCCTTTTCACCTTAAGACCAACAATAACCATTAGTTATTTGTGGCTTTGTTGCTTTATTTTGCCATTGCATTATTGCTGTTATTAGATATAATGTTTAATATTTACACTTTCTTTACTTGATATTTCTTAATTACTACCGATACTGTTAATATATTTTGGTTCAATTCACACATGGAATTTAAATGAATTTATTGGTATGTTTATTCTTTTTTTATTTAGGTTCGGTAATACGGATTTTAGTCGTTGCCTAAAGCTACGGTTTGTTAGGATGGTGCGCGTCGCACGACGTACGCATACAGCAGAATCTGTCGCGTTCGACTCACGTCAGTTTAAGTGGAAGTGGTTTGTTAAGAATTATATATATATATATATATATATATATATATATATATTATATTGATCTAAACTTCACAAGGTTTTAGAGTATTCACATAGAACAATAATTCAAAATAATAAGCAACAGAAAGTTTGATGATGCAAGTATGTTGTTATTTTATGACTACACCCTGTATGTGGGATTAAACCTTGCACAGATAATAAATTATATTGTAAACAAATTACTATGTGCATTCCTAATTTATTTAAGATATGAAAAGTCAAATTAAAGCTTGATTAAAGAACTTACTAAAATTTGGGTACAAAATGGAATCGTAAAATACCTCCATTCAAAAGTATTATGACAGACTATCTCACTAGAAGTAATTAATGAGTTTTAACTATAATAAAATGTTGGTTTAAACATATTTCTACCGGCATAGTACATAAAGGATACTCATATTAGTGTTGAATACTTTTTACAAGTAAATTAGAAAAAGATGTTTTTACCATGCTATGACATGACATTTGACCAATATGTGAATAAATTTATCGAATGAAATAAATATAATTAATTTTTGGTAGCAAATGGAAAATATTAACGTTATTTTAAATATTGTATCAATATGAGACACAATAGGTCAGTTTCAGCTAATTTTGCCAATATTTCTTATTGACCATATGTATGAACCTAAATGTTAATAAAATTAGTGTTAGATGTTTTCTTAACATATAAGCGAATGTTAGAATATAAAGTGGGTTCGGTGAGCATTTTACTTATAAAAAGACATTGCCAGAAGGTGTTTTGAAGGAGTTATGAGAAAATTAATTAGGACACATAAGCGAAACATAAAATCATGGATTAGAGCAAAATAGCACAAAGGAACGCTATTAGGGGTAATTTTAAGCAAATAGCATAGGTTGTTCTCTATTCTTAAGTATGTTTAACTGATTTTAATCCAAATTTATAGAATTGAATTCAAATTAGACTAATAAAGTGAGGTTGGAATGTCAATTAAAAGTCAATTTAGTATCATTTTGGCTCTGCTAAGAGGAGTATCGCTGATTTGAGCTCTGATCGGCTTTTGTTTCCAGTCAGAGAAAAGTTGACGAGATTTTTTATTTTGTTTGTTGACATTTGTCAAAGATTTGTGAAGTGAACCTAAAAATTTTGATTGTACTTAATTCAAATAAATTAAATGAATTACAGTTTACTTACCCATATGGAATAGGTAAGGAAGTCTTGTTTCCTCTCGACAGTCAATTGATGATGCCAAGAAACCTCCCATAAAGGAATAATTTAGGTATTTGATCTGTACCTAAAACAAGAATATTTGCCGTTTGCAATTCTACTCTACTTGGGATAAGGTCAGTTATAAGCGCTATCAATATATCACTCACCTGCTTGATAAATAAAAGTTTTTCAAAGTGGTTTATATCCATGAAAGTAAATTTAACTGCCACAGACATTGTTATTTATGTTATAACCTAGACATTTACAATTTGCAAAGAGTACCAACTCCAAGATGTTGAATTTTGGATGGTGATACTGGGAAGTGTTGAATAGGCAACACCGGTTGCAGTGATACCGGGACGTATCGATATTTACCGTCAGGTTTTAGGTGTTGGGTCTGAATAGTTGTAGGTTGATTTATTTTATAACCAATGATCTTTGTTCTTTTATTTTAATGATAATTACATTTTCATTCGATAATCATTCTTGTGCTTTCGACATCTTCATTTTCTCTAATTTCGTTATCATCAAGAAAATATACATTTTCATCGATTTCTATCTCCTCGTCAGGTATTTGTGTTTTTTGTTGAGTGTCCTGACTGTCGTCACTACAAATTTGGATGTTACTGATGGTTCTGAAACAGTAATGAAATTTATAGAAAATATTGAATAATTACACAGATATTATGTATCAAAAAAAAAAAAAATTACATACTTTCTTTCCACAATTGAGGTACCATCCAAAAATCGGAGATTCTCAAATTTCTTAAAAAAATTATTTGCACAATCCCCTTTTGCCGAACCAGTCGTTGTCCCTTTCAAATATTCTTTTCTTCTACGCTGATAATAATCTCTTATGCTTTTCCACCTGCTTTTACAATCTTCATCTAAAATTCAAATATCTACTATAAAACATAATACATATGTGTACAAAGTTCGATTTCATCATTAAGATTTTCTAATACAATAATTATTTTTGTAACTAACATTTACGAGACACCAGACATTAGAAAGTCTATTCTCACAGTAATTGTAGGAGTACCAGAAACCATTTTAAAATATTTGAAATTTCCATATGTATTCTTGAGATTTTCACCAAATGATAGATACATATATCCGTGATCCACAAAAAAGTAGGGCCCACTTTTCTTTAAGAATTTTTTAAATTTTTAGATGTGAAATTTGATAAATTAGTTGGGGCCTATAGGCTAGTTTCATAACAGTCAAACACATATGCAGATTTTTAATACATTGTTTGGATTTATTTGATATTTTTTA